TCAGTTACCAAGTGAGGTCATTGTTGCACTGATTGACTCTCTTTTCTTCCTCTTCAAGCCCAGTGGAAGCCAAAGGGTCCACACCATGGAGGGATGCTGGGTGATGGAGGCAGCCAATGGTTCCAAGGATGGCCTGAATTTCAATCCCATGAAGGAGTACATGATTCTGAGTGGTCCCCAAAAGATAGCTGTTGCAGTGCTGTGCACCCTTCTGGGCCTGCTGAGCGCCCTGGAGAACCTGGCCATTCTCTATCTGATCCTGGCCAACCACCGGCTCCGCAGGAAGCCCTCCTACCTGTTCATAGGCAGCTTGGCTGCAGCTGACTTCCTGGCCAGTGTGGTCTTTGCCTGCAACTTTGTAAATTTCCACGTCTTCCATGGCATGGATTCCAAGGCTGTCTTCCTGCTAAAAATTGGCAGCGTGACCATGACTTTCACAGCCTCTGTGGGCAGCCTGCTGCTGACCGCCATTGACCGCTACCTCTGTCTGTGCTACCCACCTGCATACAAAGCTCTACTCACCCATGGGAGGGCACTAGCAGCTCTGGGCATCATGTGGGTCCTCTCAGCATTCGTCTCCTACCTGCCCCTCATGGGATGGACTTGCTGTCCCAGTCTCTGCTCTCAGCTTTTCCCACTGATCCCCAATGACTATCTGCTGGGTTGGCTCCTGTTCATCGCCGTTCTCTTCTCTGGCATCATCTACACCTATGGGCACATCCTCTGGAAGGCCCATCAGCATGTAGCCAGCTTGGCTGAACACCAGGACAGGCAGGTGCCAGGAATGTCTTGGATGAGGCTGGATGTGAAGTTGGCCAAGACCCTGGCACTGGTGCTGGCTGTGCTCTTCATATGCTGGTTCCCAGTACTGGCCCTCATGGCCCACAGCCTGACCACCACGCTAAGTGACCAGATCAAGAAGGTCTTCGCCTTCTGCTCCATGCTGTGCCTTGTCAACTCCATGGTCAACCCTGTCATCTATGCCCTGCGAAGTGGGGAGATCCGCTCCTCTGCCCACCATTGCCTGGCCTGCTGGAAGAAGTGCCTGAGGGGCCTCAGGCCTGAGGGAAAAGAAGAAGCCCCAAGGTCCTCAGTCACCGAGACAGAGGCTGATGTGAAAATCACCTCATGACCAGAATCCAGAGGTCCGTACTGCGCTGACTGCTGATGAGGCCATCTTTCCCAGTTTTAAACAACCCAAGTCAGAAGTCATTGACTCCCTGGAGGAGAAAGAGCAGTCTTGGCTCTCTTATCTTACTGGAACCAGCCCCAGAGGCCTGGGCACTTTCCCTTTTTTGCTGATGAGTGTTGGGACTGACCCTGGGAGGGGAGCCTAGCCATGCTTCCCTGCACATGGCCTGCTGGATAGCCAGGACCTGTGAGGATCGGCAAGGTGGGCAGAGGGCAGAGAGCCTGGGACAGGCTCAGTAGTGTCAGGTCAGAAATGAGATGGCTCAAGCCTGCATCCTCCAGAGACCATAGGAGCCAAAGGGAGCCTTCAGGCTCAGCAGTGAAGGACTCGGAGGAAATCTTAGAAGAAGAATGGATGTTCTCCTGGTAATTCAGGGTATCGAATGGGATGGCCGGCTAGCCCTTATTCCTGCTTAATTGTCGGGGCATCCTTGGCTCTGAAGCTACGAAAGTCCCCACCTTCAGGTCACCCTTGCCCACTGAGAACCAAGAACTGTGATATGATGAGGATCAAGGGTACTGACGCCTCTTTCAGAGATAGATGACAAGCCTTCAGTTCAGGGCATCTTGTTGTTAGGGCAAGGGCCCTCCCTGACATCCTGCTAATCCCCACTCACAGCCGCTGGGATCTCTTAGGTCCCTGCGGAGTACAGAGGAGGCTGGGATTACTTGAGATGCTTCAGAGAATTCCAGTGACTCTGCCAAGTCCTGCTTGGTGGTGCTACTGGAAGCAGGCAGTGTGCCAGTCTAACCTAACTCCAAGAAAAAAGAAGATATTCACAAAGATTTTGTAAGTCCCCAAATTGTACCCAGTCTCACCTCAATTCAGCCCCTTTGGCTCCTCCACACCCCTACAACATATATGAAGAGAAAAGTGGGAGGAGGGGAAATTCCCTGGACTCCAGGGCTGACATTCCACAGTCCATCATTCCCAGCAGGAACATAGCTCCATGCTCTTGAAGATCCCAGGGTACCCACAGTTCACATATCAGGAGGCTGAGTTCCTCCCAGAGGGGCTTAAAACAGTAGGCAGGAGAAACTGTTGGATGGTGGGTAGAATTGCAGAGGAATTCTAATGCAATTATTTAGGACCACAGACAGAATAAAAGGAAACATATTGATTAAATGTATCTTCATTCAGGGGACGGTGGGTTAGCTCAGTTGGTTAGAGCATGATGCTGATAACACTAAGGTTCAGGGTTTGATCCCTGTACCAGCCAGCCACCAAAAAAAAAAAAAAGAAAGAAAGAAAGAAAAGGGGCGGGGGGGACATGTCTTCATTCAATACCTGCAAGACAAGGTCTCCATGCTCCATTCACTCATCCATCCATCTCATATATGTGCCAGGCTCTGGCTGGGGCCAGGGGACCCAGCCATACATGAGACGCTGCCCGTTTCATGGGGCTTATATCCTACATCCAACAAGTAAATAAAGAAGATAATTACAGGTGGCACAATGAAGGAAATCAGCAGGGTCATGTGATAGGGATTAGTCGAGGCAACCTTAGCTAGGGAAGACCTGCCATGTGCTCTGGTCATCATGCCAGCTAGCCTTTATGGAGCCTTTACTGTGCGCCAGGCACTGGGCTAAGTGCTTTTAAGTGCCTTTTTTCACTTAATCTTCACAATAACCTGAGGAAGAGGGTCTTGGTCTCTTCATTTTACAGGTGAGGAAAACTCAAAGAGGCAAAGTCCCTTACCTGAGATCACACAGCTAATAAGTACCAGGGCTGGGGTTTGTGGAGGATATTGATATTAATAAAACACATGTATTTCACAGGGCCTTAGCCTATAGCTTAGTAGGATCAAAGTCCTTAGCTTAGTAGGACCAAAGTCCTGTAGTTTAAGGAATAGCCTAACTTTTTAGTAAAACACATAGAAATGCTAAGATTAAAAAAGACCAGAAAACTCTCACAGGACTGAAGTCCTTGACGTAGATAAGAAAATTGAAGCAAAGCAAAAGTGATTGCTTGGGGGGCAGTTGCCCTTGGTGCAGCTAAACCTGAATGATGGGAAAGTAGGTGAGCTAAAAGCTTCAAGTTTACTCTGCAAGTTAGAGGTTAGCGGATATTCCACATTTTACCTTCAGCTGTTTCTTTAAGTCTCTTGGGGAGCTAAGTGCTGCCATAGTTTCTTTTTGTATGTCACATGGCTTAGTTTTATGACTCCTTTTGATGGTAACTTGCTTGAACTATTTTAAGTCGCACCTGCTTTAATGAAAATTGTCATGTAGCCAGTTTGTTTATGTTTTCATTGTGACTGATTAACCACCTGTGTTTCTTCTGTAACTTTCTTGCCTATGAGATAAAAACTGAGAGAAAACCTGACTCAGGGCTATTCCTAGGGCTCTCCTCCCTTGAGGAGTTCTCCCTGGGTTTAACCCCTTCAGGCTTCTCATTGCTCTGGATACATGGGCTCTGAGTAATCCTTTACATCTCTGTCACCCTGCGAGAGGTGACAACAGGGGTTTCCACCTAGTTCTCTTTGACTGCAAAGCCTGCCCTCTCTTTTTCTTCTTTCTTTCCTCCTTCCTTTTGTGGCTGGCCAGTGTGGGGATCCAGACCCCTGACCTTGGTGTTATAACACTGTGCTCTAACCACTGAGATGGATGGCCAGCCTTCTTCTTCTTTATACTGCACCATGGCCCCTGCGGGCTCTGGCCACAGGCCCTGGGGTGCAGTCTAGTCTGACTCCAGAGCCCTGCTCCACAAGGCCACATCTCCACTCTTCAGTAAACCTCAGCATGGCTCCACTTTCCCTTCCCTACTTGTCACCAACAGCTACTGGCCACAGTCCAGGCCTCACCTCGCCTCCTGAGTCAGGCCAGGAGTCCCACACTGCTGTGTCCTCCCTTGGGTCTCCCACTGCTGGGAGCAGCTGTTCTTCCTGCCCTCCCCAGCGAAGGTGCACTCAGTCTTCAAGACTCAGTTCAGGCCTCACCAACATCCAGGACACTTTCCCAGATATCTGCCTAGATCCCCCAGCCCTGTCCACAGCCACACACACTGTGGAGTTGATGCCCCTCTCTGCCCCCTCACTGGCCACTATGACCCTATTCAAGCAGTGTCCTGGCAAGGCCAGGAAAGCCTTCAGTCACCTCCTTCCTGCTCGTCACAGCATCCTAAGCCTCATGCAAGGTCTGGCCTTATAATATCCACACAGAACACTCCACATCTTGGGAAGCAGCCCTGACTATGGGGGCTGTGGCTGGGACCCTGCCGATGACCCTGACTAGATGGGCCGCTCACCCAGCAGCCGTCCTGAGCCTCATGCAAGGTCTGGCCTTATAATATCCACACAGAACACTCCACATCTTGGGAAGCAGCCCTGACTGTGGGGGCTGTGGCTGGGACCCTGCCGATGACCCTGACTAGATGGGCCGCTCACCCAGCAGCCCACACTGCTTGCTTGCAGTGACCATGAAGCTGGTTCAAGTCCTAACAGGGCCTGCCCAAGCCCAGGATCAGCAAAAAGGAAGGCGGGGCTCCATCCAGTGTGCTCCAGGTTTGAAGTCTGGCATAGAGTCATCTCCACTACTATGCTGAACTCAGCAAGCCTCAGGCTGATAGGAGAATCTCGTAACTGGGATGAAGCCAGGCAGAAATGCTGTGACAGGCTTCTGAGGACAGCCCTGGATGGCAGACAGGGCTCCCTGAGCCAAGCCTGTGCAGGAGGCTCCACCCCTACCCAGCTCCACCGGCGAGGGCACCCTGCCCGTGACGCAGCTTCAGAAAATTGTTCAAGGCACCTGGCTTGTATTTGGTGGTGAGTCCCGTCTTCTGCACCAGAGGACTCAGGCCAGGACAACTCTTCCTATGGAAGGTTCTGGATTGCTCCACAGTGCAGCACTAACAGGAAGCATGGTGGAGTAAGAACAGTGCAAGTTCATGGTCCGTTTGGTCATGACCCCTCACTTTTTCAGCAAACATCCATCAGGCATCCACCGGTGCCCAGGCCCTGGGCCACAGCTGAACATTCAGAGATGTGTGGCTACCTCATGGTGGGGGTGGGGCTGCAGACCAGGAGGCCTGGGATGACCGCAGAGCCCACCGTGGGCATCCTGGGTTGGGACCTCAAGTTCCTCACCTAAGAACTGGGCATAATCATCCTCTACCACCTACCTCGACACACCCAAGTGGGACAGGATAAGGATGCTCCAAGTACAGAGTGAAAACCCAAATGTAAGAATTGATTCCGAAAAGCTGAAGGTCGCATAACAGCACAGGCCATGCATTTTCAGTTCCTCTGTTCATTCTTTCTCCCCATTACTCTTTCGGTCACCCACTCCTCCATTTACAGATCCAGCAAATATTTAGGTGCCAGGCAGTGCTGGGCATTATAGCAGAAAACAGATGAATCCGAGAGGAGATCTACCTTCAGAGCCCTAGGTCCATTGTTACTGACATTGCACAAAATCAGGTTTTGAAGAACATAATGAATTACGGCTGGACTGAACCACACAGATCGAATTCCACTTGTAGCAAATTACAATCAACAAATCCATTAGCCACAGATAGGCCTATATGCATTAAAATAGAAAGCCTAGGGCAGGCCTGTGGCTCACTCGGGAGAGTGTGGTGCAGATAACACCAAGGCCCCGGGTTCGGATTCCATATAGGGATGGCCGGTTGGCTCATTGGGTGAGCGTGGTGCTGACAACACCAAGTCAAGGGTTAAGATCCCCTTACCGGTCATCTTTTTTTTAAAAAAAAAGAAAGCCTACACCCTAGCCAACTGTTCATATACACCAAACATTATTCAAAGCAATAAAATGCCCAACAACCTCAGAAGCAATATGTATGTCTGCAGTTGAATGGATGCCAAAGCCTGCCCTTTTAACCACTAACTAGCCTCTCAGCCTAGTCCAGTCAAGTTCTGCTCGATCATTGCTCATTAGGGATAATTTTAACATAGGATCTCTGTGATTTTATCACTGATTCCTAACGTACTTCATTTCATGCCCCTGTGTTAATTTCCCTTAGCAGATTCCCACAAACCAGGTGGCTTAAAACAAAAATTTATTCCCTTACAGTTCTGGACATTAGAAGTCCAAAATCAAGGTGTTGCTCCAAAATTTCAAGGGGAGGATCCTTTCTTGCCTTTTCCAACCTCTGGTGGTTCCTGGCATTCCTTGGCTTGAGGCAATATAACTCCCATCTCTGCCGCCATCTTTCGTAATTTTCTCTTTTTCTTGGTTCAGGGGTCCAAACCCTTGACATTGGTGTTACAACACTGCACTCTAACCAACTGAGCTAGCTGGCCAGGCCCTGCCTCTGTCTTGACATGACCTTTCCCCTACCTGTGTCTCTTGGTGTCTTTTAAGAACACCAGTTATTGGATTTGGGCCCACCCTAATCTGGTATGACCCTATCTCAATTTAACTAATTACATCTGCAAAACCCCTATTTCCAAATAAGTTCACGTTCACAGGTTCCAAGCAACATGAAGTTTTGGGGGACAGTGTTCAACTTAGTACAGACCCCTGGGACAAAGTCCACCCCTCTGGGTTGTGTTAAGTGGCAGTCACTGGCTTACCTTCCCCCACAAGATGAGCTCCGTGTTTGCCTGTGTCCCCAATGCTCAGTAAGGATCCAGCAGAGTCTTAAGGGATCTGGTCAGTATCTGTGGAACTGAATGGCTTCTGAAAAGCTCTGAAGTGCATTTTGGAAAATCAAACTATTTTAACCCAGATACCTATCTTTTTGTAAGGCAAAGAAATGGCATAAATTTTTAAAGGTGAATTTGCCTGTTCAAATATTGTGATTCCTTAAAGTTGGGGGATGCCTTTCTTTATTCATTTGGTAGGATCTTTTTTCTCATTTTAGCAAAGAAAATGCTAAAGTGCCTAGCACAAATTGGCACTCAATAAATATTTATTGAATGAATAAAACTAGATTTTAAAAATAATTTAATCAAATGTACTTCCTTCCACACTTTCTATCTCTCCCCTTTTATAGTCAGCCCCTATTTCTGCTTTATGGAGAGAAGCAGAGTTTGCAGAGGGGGAACACATGGGGGAAAGGTGACTCCGGATATTACTGAGAACTGCCCTCATTGTTTAGATGAGGAAACAGGCCCAGGCAGTGGGCAAGACTCATACAAGGTGACCAAAGTAGTGTCTGGTGCAAGAAACCCAGGTTTCCTAACTTCCAGTTCTAACCACTCTGTCACAATGCCTCTCACCTGCCCCTGCAGGTTTACATTTTGGTTATGTGGATAAGGAGAAATGAAAGTCACAGTGTCCCATTTTATCCTCCCTGAGACAAGTTCTGAAACATCAAAGACTCTGATCACTAGAAGATGTGTGTGGATGGGTTGTTTCATTTTTAAGGTGTCCATGCTTACTGTTTTGGACAATATTTCAACATCATCTCATGGAGGGAAAGCACAGAAATTAAAGAAAATAGCTATTCATCCAGCCATTGTGTTTCCTGATCACTTTCAGAACGAGGAAGTGCTTGGTTCTGTCAATACAGGCTCTGACTCCTCCCAGGGCGCGAGAGAAGCAGCCTGGAGAGAGACATAGAATCGGCATCTGGAGACCTGGATTCTAAATAGCTGCATGATCTTCTTCTCTCCGGGTATCAGTTTCCTCCTTTGTGAAATGGGAAGGGTACAGAAGAGGATGGTGCTGAGGATCTCCAAAGTCCCTTCCAACTCTGACATGCTGCCATTCTCTTGTGCCAAGTGGGATCAGGAAACTTTTAACTTGACCCTTCCCACACTGATGCCCCCTCTCCTCACCACCCCCACCACCACCATTTGAGCACATACAGCAAGTACGAATTGTAGAGGAATTGGTTGACCTCCCTACCAGGCAAGATTCACACAGATGTCCTTGGGCCTGGGGCCTCTTGGCTCTCAATTTTCTGGCCCTGGTATTCTAAAAATGTGCCTCTGCGACGAACTGTGCATGGTCTTGTTTTTCCAGTTAGATGCGAACCTTGAAATTCCTCAGAATTCCCAATGCAAGCTCAATAAAAATAAATATTAGGCAAAATGGTCACACCCACTCTTCCTCTTTCGGTATCCACTTTTCTCCCTCCTCTCCCCTCATAATCTTCCTCCCATCCCACCTCGTTATTTCTGCCAGGGCTGTTACAATGCACCTCCAATCTGGTATCCCTGCTTCTGGGCTTGCTCTTCTACACGACAGCTCAAAAGCCCCCTTATGACTCCCGATTGCCCACAATCGTGATCTCACTTCAGTCCATCTCTGCAGGATTGCTGCAGCAAAACAGACTACTCCCAGTTCTCCGCACACTGCGGGCCTTCCCCACCTCCACCGTTTAACTCCGCAGCGAAGTCCCTTCTGAAGTTTTCATTCTCACGCCCACGGGGCGCTGTCAACACCTCCTTGCTTCTTTCTCCCTTTGAGCGCTAGAGGGCGCTCCAGGAACGGCCGAGCCTGAGAGGAAGCGACTTGGTAGCCAAGCAGTCTGGGTTGACCCGCCCCGTTTCTCCTTGCGAGCCAATCGTTAGTCAGTGTGGGCGGAGCCGCGCGCCCCGCACCTGCGCATGAAGAGCGGGCGGTGGAGGCGCTCAGTCAGCGATGCGGGCCGGGGAGGTGATGTCGCTGGTGGGGGCCGTCGCTCCGCTGCTGCTGCTGCTGCTGCTCGCTGTGGCCGAGTCGGCGCCCCGGGCTCCCCGCAAAGCCCCGCCACAGCAGCGCTACACCCCCGACTGGCCGAGCCTGGACTCCCGGCCGCTGCCGGAGTGGTTCGACGAGGCCAAGTTCGGGGTGTTCGTGCACTGGGGCGTGTTCTCCGTGCCGGCCTGGGGCAGCGAGTGGTTCTGGTGGCACTGGAAGGGCCAGTCGCTGCCCCGATACCAGAGCTTCATGCGGGACAACTACCCGCCCGGCTTCAGCTACGCCGACTTCGGGCCTCAGTTCACGGCGCGCTTCTTCCACCCGGAGGACTGGGCCGACCTCTTCCAGGCCGCGGGGGCCAAGTGAGTGTCGGCGCGGCGGCGACGGCGGCGCCCCTCCCCGGCGGCCACGGGAGCACGGGGTGGGCGGGGCGCTGGCCCGAGGCCACTCAGCCGCCTGGCTTAGATTCCCCTGGGCGCTGTGTTCTGCCTGCCCAAGGGTGCAGATTTGAACGTGGCACACCTGATCCTAAGGAGAAGGTGCGTCTGGTTGGAGATTCAGAAATGAAGGTTTCGGGCCGGCCCGGTGGCACACTGCTACAGTGCGCCGCTTGGGAGCGCGGTGGCGCTCCCGCCGAGGGTTCGGATCCCACATACAGACCGGTTCCCGCTCACTGGCTGAGCGAGGTGCGGGCGCAACACCAAGGGCTGCAATCCCGTTGCCGGTCCCTGTCCAGTAGGGGCGCGACACTGAGGGTTGCGATCCGTTGCCGGACACGAAAAAAGACAAAAAAAGGAAAAAAAAAAAAAAAAAAGAAATGAAGGTTTCGAGGAGGTGGTGGGCTGGAAAGCCCTCGGTATCTACACTCGTA